ATTTCATGTGGCGTGAAGAAAATATTTTTAAATACCTTGATAGCAACAGCACTAGCAGCCTATCCAGTCTCGGCACTTGCCTCTTCACTATGGATATAGCTTTCAACTTTTCAAGCTGCGTGGGGTGTGAACCGAGGAAGATGGACCATTGAGCACGTGTATTGACTGACCTTGACACAACCACCCACCGTTAATTAGGAATCACTCAATCAATTGTTTAAGCATATATATCATAACACTCTTTTGAATCCTTCAAACTCACCAGGCAAAAACTTTTTTAAAAAATAATAATTAAAAGTCAAAATAGATGGCTTTTACAGCTAGCAAGACCGCAATCATGAATATTTGGTCACTTGTGCAAAGCTAACCACCCACGTGACCTCCCATGTAGATTCTCATACAATATATACAGGGTTTTAGATTCTAGGTTAAACCCGATTGGCTACACAAGTCTAATCATGATTGGTAAAAGCCTGGTCCAATAAAATATTAAGAAGATGGGTTAATGATTTCCTAAGCAATTTTAAAATAATTATTTTATGGAAGTAATAAAAGAAGAGATAAAAAAACAAGTATGATTTAATTTAATTTAATTTAATAGTTTAAATTGTTAGGTTAGTATTTAGAATGAAAAAAAAATTGAATAATAAGATTTAAATTTATAACACTATCAAAATTCTAATATTATATTAAAAATTTATATTTAATTTAATAGTTTAAATTGTTAAGTTATTTTCTAGGATTAAGATAATTTAAATGATAAATTTTAAATTCATGATTGCTTAATCACCAAAATTTTAATATATACTAGTCAACAAGGCTGTAGATTTTATTTGTGAGAACAAAGGTATAAAAGAAATACAGTTTCATTTTAAAATATTTTTAACCACCTTATTGATATGAAAATTAATTTACTAATTTTTATTCTTCAACATATGTAATCAATCCCTCTCTTCATAAGTAGAAAAAAAGAGAGCATAATTTATGAGATAAATTTAATTATTATTACAAGATAGAAAAGACAGAAACAATAGAAATAAAAATAATATAATTCTAAATAGGAGGGATAGAAATGATATATCCCATGTTCTTTTTATTTTAAAAGGATAAAAAATTATTTTTAAAACATATTTGTTTCTATTAATTTATTTTTACTTTTATTCACGTCTCCTTTTTTGTTTTTCTAATCAAATATTTTTTTTCTCTTTATATTTGTTTTTCATGCTCTATAACTCTAACCAAACACACAAAGTACCAAGAACAAAATAATGCAAGCTTATGGTTCCTTACACTCCAACCACAAGATTCATCGGTCATGGCTTGCCCTACCAGGTACTAAAATGGCAGGCTGTGTTTGTTTCGCAATTAATTTTGCATTTGCGGTGCAACAAACGTCATCAACAAACGTCATCGTAAAGATATTTAATAATAAATTAAATTATGTTTTTTTTTTAAATTCATTAAAAAATTAAGTTTGAAATACAACTTTAAAAAAATAATTTAAAATCTTATTTATTTTTCCGTTTCAAAAATACTTTTAAAAAGTTTTAAAATTTTATATATTTTTATTTACTTTAAATTAATAAATTTTTTTTACGTGTTTATATTAAAAATAATTTTTAAAAAATTTCAAAAATATATGTTGATGTATTTTTAAATTAAAAATTATTTTAAAAAGCAACTATAATTATTATATAATTATTATAGTATATGTTTTTTTACTGTATATTAATTTAAACTATAATTTTTATCAAATATATATCTAAATCCAATTAATCATAATAAAGAATATTTTTTTAACCTATATTCACAGAAACTATTTAAAAAATAAACACACTTTAAAAAATATAAAAATTAAATGCAAAGCTGAATAGCGATCAGGGTTTCCACGTAGGATGCAAAATTGGATGCTTTATCTAATAAGTATAGGCTTTTTTTTTTTAAAAAAAAAACTTGATTAGGCTGATCAAACCCTAACCAAACAGACTGAATTACCCAACAATATCTTAGGCATCACAACAGTCACTCTACCTAGTGCCACAAGCGGAGCACATCACAACGCATGTTACAAGCTCTTAAGGAGTCAGAATGACACCACAATCCATTCATTGGTGCTCTGTCGTTCACGCATAATTCTTTCTATCTTAATTTCTGTCCATTGGCTGTTCTTAGAAACCTATCTCTTTAGCAAGCTGCTAATCTTTCCTCTCGATGGTTATTTTTCCACTAATTTATAATTAAGTATGGTTATGGTTATTTTTTAAAGTGTTATTTATTTAGAAATATATTAAAATAATATTTTTTAATTTTTAAAAAATTATTTTTAACATCAGCATATCAAAATGATACGAAAACACAAAAAAATATTAATTTAAAATTTAAAATTAAATTTTATTAAAAATACTTTTTTTTATAAAAAAAAACAATAACTAATAATACTATAACAAAACACCATAACTAATACGCGGGTGAGAAAAAAATAATTATTCTTCATTATTATCTCGTTATCTATAAGGTAAATTCATTTAACCAGGATGTATAATACTTCATTGCACGAGGTAAACAGAGAGGTTCATTCACAAGTTTATTCACATATAACAACAACACAAGTTAAAGTAATCTAACACACTCTCTATTTCTAGTAAAAGCATGGAATACCCAAGTATGGTCACCTATGACCTATCGGCCCATCAATCAGTGCTTAATTCTAATCTCCTATCAGCCCATCAAGTAACCGTGAAAAGACCTTAGATTTGAAATTTCCACACCTTCATGAGAAAGATAATAATAATAATGATTAAAAAAAAAACACTACACGCATGAAAACAATATGTTCATCCAAAAAATGGCGAGGTCTAAGGAGGAGGAGGAGGAGGAGCTTCCCGTTAAACTAGAGAACGAGTTTCTGAGGAACCAAAACTAGCCAAGAAGTGAGCGCACTGATTAACCTCGTGATGGGCATGAATGCGCCTCTTAGGGCCGAAGGATGAGAGACGATACTGAATACTTGAAGTGAGGATGACATTTGCCGGGAGAAGATGACAAACAACAAATTGCTTCTAAGGAATCCCACTCAACTTCAAGAGGAGAAAGTTTTTGTCGCTATCGAAACATTAATACCATGCCAAATAGCCCATAGTTCCGCCGCCATGGTAGTGGCTGAGCAAATAAAAGAAGACAAACATGACGCCAGTTTCCTAAAAATCTCGAAAACTGCCACCAGAACGTCCACAACCAGCCTTTCCTGAGTTCCCTAGTGAGCTACCATCCACGTTAACCTCCCGGAACCATACGAGGGAGGGTGCCACTGAATAAAGCGAATGGTTGGAGCAGAGTTGGGGTAAAAGACAAGAGAACGCAATCTTCAATCATCAATCTAGTTCTTAAAGCAAACCCCAACTCAGCATACCCTCCCATGGATGCAGGCAGTTAAAAACTTATTTCAATATAATAAGTTAAAGTTTAGTAGGTAACGTGTCTAGAAATAATTTATATTATTTATTAATATATGTTTTTAGAAAAAAAATTAAAATTTAAAATTTACACATATTTTGTTGTGTTTAATTTTTTAAAATAAATTAAAATAATAAAATTCAAACTCATAATTATTTAATTATTACAATTTGAATATGAAAGAATTATCTTAATTCAATAATTTAAACTTTAATCTAATAACTTAAACTTATTAAATAAAATTTTTATTATTTTAACTAGTAAAATAGCAATATAATGTTAGTAACTTACAACTATTTTTTTTTTAAATAGGGTTAAAAGCTCAAGACACTAAGAATTACAACCAACAAATATGGAACAGAGCTAACCCATTAACACCCTATAAAAGAAAATCGGCAATTCCTAACGTTGGGAAATTAAAAAAAAATAATCTAAAATAAGATATAAATAAACTTAGTTTATATTTAGTTAATTTCTTAAAAAAACCCAGATATATAAGAGATAAAAATATATTTTATTAAAAAAATAAAGATAAAATGATTTTTTTTTCATTTAAAATAAGAAGTACAAATAAATCTAATTCCTTGTCAACGCTACCTTAATGATTATTTATTATCAATTTTTTTAGTAAAGTAAACTTGGAGTCACATATCACAATATATGTTAATATATTGATAGTTTTTTTTTTCTAAAAAGAAAAAAAAAAGGTTAATCACATAAAGACATTCACTCCTGAGAAAGCAGCTAAGAGGCATCCCTTGCGGTTCTCAAACGACAAGATCCACTTCCTTCCCATCCCCCTTTTTTGACCAAATCTGTGGATGCAGAATAAACTTCCTTTTTTTTGTTTTTTCTATTTGTTTATGACTTCAAGTGGCCAAAATCGAAATTTATATTCATCAAAGTATGGATTGATTACAATTTATTTGATATATTTATTTTTTTGGTTTGATAATATGATGCAAGAAAAGTAATTAGAACTAGGACTTGAATGCCCTATATTTAATTGTGCGAAAAATAACAAAAAAGTATTTTTTTTTTAATATAAGATTAGATAAATTTAGTTCATGAATGTCCAAATTGCTCCCATAATACCATCCAACCATAGCATAAAAATCAGGTAAAACCAAATAAAACCAATCATTGAGTTGATTCAAGAATATAGAACTAAAAACTAACCATATAATAATTTCTCTATTACTCAAAATAAATTGTTAAAAAATCTAAAAAGTTGGTTCGGTGAGTGAGATAAAATTTGTATTTTTCAACCTTTTCAATTAAGATTTTAAAACCAATATCTTGAAAATTTTATTAAATTACTTTAATTGATTCAATAATACCATTAATAAAAAAAATAAATTATTAGAAAACGTAAAATAAAGGAAATAGGTCGTGAGTGAATTGAAGAAATTAAGGGAGACAGAATCCAATTCAAATCTTTTTCTTTGTCCTATCCATATATATTTTTTGATAATATAAAAATCAAAATTGCAATTAAAAAAAAAAGGACAACTTTAGGGTTAGCCTCAAAAAGTTGGAAGCTTTACCACAGCCACTGGTATAGGACAGGTCTCTCCCTCTCCCTCTCTTAAATATAAATCAAAATAAATATTTCTTACATTTTTTATTGACCATAAAAATAAAGCCTTCCGTTTCTTCCCAATACAACAGTGTCTTTACCACAGCCTGGCTAGAGAAAGGTACGGTCTTTCTTTTTTGATTTTTCTTGTGCCAATTGCTTTGATTTTATTTTTTTTCTCAAAAGGGGTTCCTTTTGATTTTTTGTGTTTATTGGTTTTGATTCATGAAGTTTGCAGGTTTGTGGAGATGGGGTTGTTTTTTTATTTGAGAGAATGAATTATGCCTGTTTTTGAGCTAAGAGTTCTTTATTTTCCTTTATAGGTTGATATTGGTATGTTATTATGGATTAGTGTTTTGGTATTGTTATATGTGTTGGAAAAGATTTCATTTTTCTTTTCTTTTTATGTTTATGCATAGATTGATTTATTGTTTCTTTGAATATCAGAAATGTGTTTCTGCTTCATTGTGTTTTTTTATTATGGTTTGTTGCTGAGGGGAAAAAGAAAAAAAAATTGAAATCTAATTGAGCTAGAAGAAATCTTTTTATATGGGCTCAAGGTAATTGGCTGCTGCATTTGTTGTATCATATTAATGATTGTTATTTTCTGGTCATTTTTTGATGGATGATAATATATCATTTGAATCTTGATGAAGAAGTCTCTTCCGTTTCTTATTGCAGCAAGCGTTAGTTGTTTTTTCCCCTATGTTTGCTTGTCTTGATTGTAACAATCCAATGTGGAACTTGAGATGTTATTGATTATCATGAATATTGATTGTATCACCGTTCTGAACTGTGTTTTCCTTTGGCTTTCTTGTTTAATCATGAAAGCCATTTATTTTAAGTTTTTTTCCTTTTTTTCAGGCCAGCATCTCTTATGTATATTAGGAATTGGGTTCTCCTAGTTGGCAAAGATTTTGATTCACTCTGGCCGCTTCAACAAATTTGAAGTGTTCTCGCACCTCCAGGAGGGTGTGGGGTGATAGCGAGGGTGTGATATTGCTGTGTGTTTTAAGGCGATCAAGATCATCTCATGTTTGGAGACTGTGCCGTGTTATGGAGGGCTTGTCTCTTGATTATGGCTAAGGTTTGCTAGGTTTCTTGAAGCTTGATGGTAGTTGGAGAATTTAAGTTAGTAGAGTCAGGTCATTGTTTTAGGTTCGTAAGTGTGGAAGCTAGAAGCAGCACAGTATAGTTGTTTACCTATTACGTTCTTTATGTAATTCATAAGGTTATTTGTGGATGTAGCTTGTGTTAGTGTGGCTACAATGGTTAGGTTCTCATGTTTCAATGCTCACATCCCTTCTCACAAACCAAAGGTAAGTTGAGCAATCACTGATTTGGACGTAGTATCTTTGCTCTTACCTTCCATGGTTTTTCTGATTATAGTTTTCCTTTTTCCTTCAGAAAACTGCCGAACTTTCTGTTCAAGCAATGCATAAGAGTTTCGAAGATTTTTCTCAAATTCAATCTCCTAAGACACTGACCAAAGCTACAAGCTTGATACTTCTGAAGGCACAAACAGATACTGGAACTATTAATAGTGTCAGGGATGCTACAAGCTCTGTATCTGCTGAACAAAGCTGGGAATCCGACAAAATTGAGGACAAAATGGATTTCAAGAATGACATAGGAGTTCATCAGACAAGGCTTATTAAGAAAAGTCAGTCTCTTGGAAGTGGATTATGCCATGAGGGAATGGTTCATTGTGACAATGATACTGAGGAGGAGACAGGTCAAGGATTCTCTGGTGATTCCCTTGATCAAAATGGGTTACCTAGACCAGATGGCAGCAAGGATACAGGAAGGAGCCCTACTAGCGTGCATGAGAAAGATTTGCAACTAGAGTCTGTTCAGATGAGTTTTGATTTTGACAAGGAATGCATATTCTCAATTGGCAATCCTCAGCATTCTGGAAAGGAAGAGCTGGAAATTTCTGATTTTCTGTTATCTGGTGAAGGTGGTGATGCATCAGGTAACCAGTCGCCTGGTAGCCCTCCCATGATTGAAAAATCATGCTCATTTCCTGACATGGGCACTTTTTCACCCACATCCCATGGACATTTAGCATCTCACTCAAGATCTTTTGAGGACCTGCATTCTCTAAATATGAGGTGGAAAACAATTTCAATTAATGGGGATGAAACTCACAAAATGAGAAAAGAAGGAAGGGGTGATTGCATTCCTAAAACTGAGGGAAACAATATTGAAAGTTGTCTTGATGAAGGTTTTGATTCGTATAATTACTCAGCTATGGCAAAGGATTGGATAATGCCAGTTGTGAATGAAGCAAACCTTCCAAATAAATTCCAAGGAGAATCCTCCACTCAGCAATTGGAAGAATTACCAAGTAAGGATTTTAAAATGAAGCGTATTGCGGACTGGCTAAACAATCTTCAACACTGTAGTTCGTTCGAAGAACCAAATGAATTGCCTGATACTGATGACCCAGTGCATGGAGATTCAGATGATTTTTCCTCTGCAAAGGTTGATAGCAAGGTCACTCCTGTCACCGAAGCTGCTAAAAGATACATCTCTTCGTTGACTGTCTCTGCCACCACAGCTCATCTGTCAAACCTTGGGCTGGCAGAGATCCCTTTTCTTAGTGCGTTTAGCAGCATGAGGATGCTTAATCTATCAGGGAACTCTATAGGTTCACATCTTGAACCTTTTCCTGTTTTTATTCTTGCCTTCTTTTTTATCTGCCTGGGTGAAAAATACTCATGAACTTAAGAGAGATTGTTTATTTCTCTTACATGCTTTTCAGTGAGAATAACTGCTGGTGCCCTCCCTAGAGGACTTCATGTGTTGAATTTGTCAAAGAACAGCATTTCCTCCATTGAGGGTTTACGCGAGCTTACTCGACTTCGTGTATTGGACTTGAGTTACAATAGAATATTCAGGATTGGACACGGTATGTCGAATGAGTTGTGTTTGATGGTTGTATGGCTGTAGCTTTCCCATTTTCTCCTATTTTCGCTTTCAATTGTCCAATTCATAGACATTTGATTACTTGGAACATTGTAGTGATTCACTTTCTGCTGTTAAAGGTTTGGCATCTTGTTCCTCCCTGAAAGAGCTATACTTGGCGGGAAATAAAATAAGTGAGGTAGAGGGTCTCCACCGTTTGTTGAAACTAACGGTACTGGATCTGCGCTTCAACAAAATCTCGACCACCAAATGTCTTGGCCAACTTGCAGCTAACTACAATTCGTTGCAAGCCATCAGCTTGGAAGGAAATCCAGCACAGAAAAATGTTGGAGATGAACAACTCAAGAAATATCTGCAAGGTCTTCTCCCTCATCTGGTTTACTTCAACAGGCAGCCAACCAAAGCCAGCACATTGAAAGATGCAGCGGACCGATCAGTTAGGCTAGGCATCAGCTCCCATCAATTTGATCGTGGCCTCAGGTCAGAGAACAAAGCTGCAAGAAAGGCTAGCCATAGCCTAGCTGGTGCTAGGCCATCGTCCTCATCAACTCATGCTCGTAAAAGTCATGCTGTAACCTCACCTAAACGGTCCAGGGGCAGGCATCTCCGTTTGCCACCGAATGGAGCCAAAACAACATCTAGTCATCGCTATCATCATAATCATGCTGATCTTGACAAATTCAATTATGGATTGGAGTTCTCATTTCACAGGAGTCGAAGTGAGGGAACTCTGGGAGCTTGCTGAGGTTTTCTATTATGCTTTCAACAGCATGGTTGGTACTCGGAAGATTACTTTGTTTGGTTGTGTGGTTTTCTATCTTCGTATTATTTCTCACAAATAAGGCAGTTGCCATGTTCGTGCACCAGAATTATCCTATCTCTTGTTTGAAGTTTGATGTTGCAAATTATCTGTTAAACAATGTTTGATGTGGTTTCCCCTCATATGAATTTCTTTTCTTTACGAGTGGTTTCTCCTTTTTTAGATAGTATTCCATATTGTAGTAATAGTTTTTTTATTTAAAGAAACATCGAAATAATATATATATATATATATATATATATATATTAGTTTAAAAAAATATTTGTTTGCTTAAAACTTTTATCTCATAGATTTTTACATGTAAAATTAAAATAAAATGCAAGTTTCTATGAATGAAAAACATATTACTTTAATTTTTATAAAACTAAGATTTAAAATATAATTACATATAAAATTTAATATAAAAACAAAATAAGTTTTTTTATAATCATATAAAAAATAAAAACCACAACGATATCGTAATTTATCCCGATAGAAGTAAAACTGTCTATGATCTCTTGAAAAGAGGTAGAAGCATGCATCGACAACTCTAATGATATGATACTTTTTGACAGCGCAGCCTCTACTGTGCCCCAAGCATCGCTCCTGTCTCCATCTTCAAACAGGACTCACATGCCAAGAGACCTCAGCTTTGTGGAGTTAATGTCCAGCTTTATGCTCTCTCCCTTTTCTTGTATGGTTTTAATTCAAAGCTGCCAAATCCCAATCGTTTTCAACCACAAAAGATCAAGAAGAGCACTATTCATCTCTGGGTTGGTGGCATGCATGGCATGGCAGGCAGGCAAATGGAATTTGATATTATTTTGACTTCATGTTTGTGCACATTCATTTGTTGTTTTTGTTGTTTTTCCAATTAGTAAGGTTCTGTTGCTACTATCTCAAAATATAAAAGAAATAGATAAAAAAATAAAAAAAAATATTTTCCTATATTTTTTATTTATTCAATTAAATATTTTTTTGTCTCTTATGTTCTAAACTCTTACTAAACGCAATCCAAGAAAACTTTTCTCCTTTCTTTCTTTGACAATGAGATTTAGTGACTCAATTTAACACAACTTAAATTTAACTGTTTTAATTTATTGAAATTTATCCAACTTGTACATGCCTAAAACTAATTTCTTTTTTATTAATAATCTTATAAACATTGTTGTTAAATATTACTAAATCAATCATAATAGTAGTTCTTTTTGTGTTTGATATTATGGTCTAACCTGTTTTTAATGTGTTTTAAATTATTTTTCACTTAAAAATAGTAAATTAATTTTTTAAATTATTTTTTAATAATTTTTATATTTTAACAATAAAAATAAAAAAAATAAAAATATTATCTTAATATATTTTTAATTAAAAAATAACACTAACACAAGAATTACTCAAACCCCATTCACTTAAAATTAGTACACGTACTTCTTGAAAGAAGACAACATGTGTAGTACAAGAAGTGAAGTGAGGGATTCATGTAAGCCTGCCAAATGGACACACAATATCTTATTAGGTGTGGGCTACCCTATAATAATGGAGAAGAGAAGCCAACTCTTTCCAATCCATGAGAGGACAAGAAGCATAGAAGATAAAGCTAAAATGATCATGCAACTGCTTACCTTTCAAGCATGGCATAAGAAGGCTAAAAGCTCCCACCTAACACTTTTGAAGGGGAAATAATTTTTTTTTTTTTAAAAAAAATTCTTCTACCTTTTTACTCTATTTTTTTTCTTTCTTTCTTGTAACTCTTACAATTAATTCTACCTTTGATTTTGTTTGTGGATTTTAGATTATAAATTGATATTTTAATTTATAAATGCATTAAAATAATATATTTTTATTTATTAACAATTTTTTTAGAAAAAAATTAAGGGAAAATAAAAAAACTTGTTTTTTTATTTTTAAAAAATCTTCTACCTTTTCTCTATCTCTATTTTTTTTTACAAGTTTTTTTTTTCACTTTCTTGTAGCTCTCACAATTAATTCTACATTTGATTTTGTTTGTGGATTTTAGATTATAAGTTGACATTTTAAAATAACAAAATATTTTTTATAAAATTTAAGTGTAAGTCAAAGTTTGAATAGCGTTGTTTCAATTTTTTTAAATAAAATAATAATGTTGATTTTTTTATAAATCAAACAGGGTTTTAATAAAATTGATAATTGATCCATCAAATCAACTAAATTTAATTATCTCAACTCCTACCCCATTAATTTTAAACCTTAACTAGGTTTTGGCTGGAGAAATTATTTAATTAAATTGGGGCAAAGTCAGACTCATTCTAATCCAAAGTATTCCTATAATCAATTGAACAACCGTCACAGAATAAAATTATTGGAAACAATGGGGGAACTTGGTATTAAAAATTAGATTATCTTGATTGGCTTATGGCTTTTTGGCCTACCATTCCAATTTAATTAAATAATATAAATTACACCTTGCTTGTACCAAAAATGAAAGGGAAACTTCATCCCCAATGTAAATTCCCAATTCTAACAAAGCCCATGGTAATAATTAATGGGATAGATGTGTTATATTATTATAATATGGTCTAAATTAGTCATCATTAGCGTTATTAAACTTGATTGGACTGTAATCTATCTATTAGTTCAGAACTTGATTTGAGTTAAATTTAATGTTAAACTTATCAAGTCAAACTTATATTTTTTATTTTTAAAATATAAAAAATTAACTGTAAAAGTATTCTAAAACACATACTTTTCTAATAAAATATGTCTATATATTCAAAAAACTAAGCAAACACAAAAGATTCATTAATAATAAGTAAAATAATTATTCTTTTAAAGTCAAATTTCATCGTATATTTATTTTTGATAAGCCTAAATTATAAAAAAATTTATTTGCATGTTTAGTATTATGATGGTGTGATGTGTGTTTTAAAAGTTTATTTTATTAAAAAATATATTAAAATAATTTTTTTATTTTTAATATTAACAAGTTAAAATTATTAAAAATATGAAATTAATATTTTAAAAATAAATAAATTTTTAAAAAACATATAAAAAAACAAAAGTTACTGCATTACAAACAAAATTTAAAACCTGATCTATGAAGTAGAAGTTCCTGAAGTAAAATGCAAACCGCACTCCATCGCAGCACATGAATAAACGAGCCTTCGTAAAACCTCAAGAATTTATATAAATACCACAAAATCGTGGCCATGATTTTATCCTTCTCCAAAGTCAACCATAACCCAAAGTAGACGAGAGGAAAGTTTCCCGTTTCTTTGATCAAAATGAACTCGAAACAACCATACCAGGCTGAACCGGACCTCCCAGTTCCACCACTCCCCGCCCTCTGCATCCGCTCCCCTTCTCTCTCCACCGCCCCCCCAGCCAACCGCCGTGTTGCCATAGCCGTGGACCTTTCCGACGAGAGGGCATATGCAGTCAAATGGGCGGTCCAGAACTACCTCCGTCCAGGTGATGCCGTGATCCTCCTCCACGTCCGGCCTACCTCCGCTCTCTACGGCGCCGATTGGGGGTCCATCCAACACCAAATCAATAACAACAACACCCCTTTTGATCAAAATGACCCAGACAGTTCTGACAATCAAGAAAGGCAGAAACTTGAGGATGATTTTGATAGTTTTACAAATAACAAAGCCAATTTGTTGGCTAAACCATTGTTGGAGGCTGATGTTCCTTTCAAGATTCATATAGTGAAGGATCATGACATGAAGGAGAGGCTTTGTTTGGAAATTGAGAGGTTGGGTTTAAGTGCTGTGATAATGGGAAGTAGAGGTTTTGGTGCTACAAGAAAGATGGGGGGTGGTCAAGGAGGGATTGTTGGTGGTGGGAGATTAGGGAGTGTTAGTGATTATTGTGTGCAGCATTGTGTTTGTCCTGTTGTTGTTGTTAGGTGTAATGATGATGGTAAAGAGGAAGAGAGTACAGTGAAAATAGGAGGTCTTGGTGTGGAGGTTGAGGAGGGTCTTCATCCTGTGCCTGAGGAGGACCAAGAGGAGTGTATTGATGATGAACTGAAAGGTTTGTATTTTGGAACTTTTTGCGTCATTTTTAGATATGAAATGATAAGTTTTTGATTTTGTGATGTGTGTTTTGTGTTTGCGTGAGGAAATTTTGGGTTAGGTGATTGGTTTGGTTAATGGTGCTGTTTGCTTTTCTTGTTATGCTTCGGTTTGCTTGCTTGCTGTGGTTTGGAAATTTTAGGGTATTTGTGTTGATGTTAGTGATGCTGCGTGGAGAATTTCTTTTTTGATGTTGCTTGTAAATTTTAGTTTGGTTTGGGTGATTGATTAGAAAATCTGTTGTCCAAAATTCTATAGAGGATGCAGTTTATTTTTTCTTAAAACAAAAAAACAGTAATCTTAGCATGGATTTGTTGAATTGAATAATCCGAGTTTCTAAACTCATAGATGCTGCTCTAGTTTGTTTACGGGGAATTAGCTATCGAAACTTGTTTTACGAGGAATGAGCTGAGTAGTGATAAAACTTTGGGTCCTTTGTGGTAGGCCGAGATATAGGAAAGGGAGAGTGATAGCCTAACTATCCTCTGTTTGGTGCAGGATGGCATAGAGATTTTATTCTTGACTAGGGTAAAGTAGATCTCTATTCTATTTTGTGTAGGAAATTGCCAGATGTCCTTCTTTCTCTTCTTGGCGCTGCTTCTAAAATTCAGCATTGCTAACGTGATAGCTTGGAACACGTGGGGATTGCATTGTTGCTTTAGTAATTAGTGCTAGGTTTCCTGTCCTTTTGGAACTTATACCTGCGAGACTTTGGACCTTTGACTCTCTCTCATGCTTTTGGTAATAGCATTGATGGATTTATTTGTTCTTAACTGTGTTTTCTTCACTTGGTAGTGCCTATGTTTCCTAGTGCCTGACCCCCTACCATGTTTATGAATTGTCATCATTGTATGATAACTCTTAACCTCTCTTGTAACAGATGCATAAAATGTGCTTGGTGCAATTGCAAGCTCCCTCTGAATTCAGGTGATGCTTAATTTTACTTCCTTTTCTTTGTAAATCTTTATGAGCTCCCCCCCCCCAAAAAAAAAAAAAAATTGTACAGAAGGAGAAAAGGGTTTAAGATGAGAAGTATGAGTAGTGGTTTTTATTTACTGCATGGGGCACAAAATTATTGCAGTAATTGATATTTTTTTTTTGAATATAAGATGTGCAGTGTTTAGATTTTCTAATCACACCTTTTATTCGATTAACTCATTAGTTATTTTGTCCTCAACAAGATGCCAAGTTTATTGCAATCTATTGGCCAAATCTGATATATGTATATATATGTTTCTTGCAGCTAACAATTTTAAGGCCCCAAAATATGTGAAGGCTGTGGATTGTCGTGAAGTTATAGGGCTATAATTTAGACATAATTTTCTTTGTTGGACAATGAACCAGGTTGCTTCTCTTGTACATGGATCACGATGTCTGACAGAGTAATTACTTTCTGGCTTATTGGCTTCTTTAGAACTCAATTCAACTGTTTTCTTCTTCTTTTTTTAATCTTGAGTGATGTATTGCTAGTTACATATCTAAATGTTTATCCATTATCTCCGAGAATGTGTTTTTCAGCACTTCAGTGTCTTATCAGAACTGGTTTTTGGAGTTGTACAAATTTTAAAAAGTTCCATGGTTTTTATTCTTGTTTCTGGACATCTTTTGCACCCTCCGGTTTTCTCTTGGATTTGGAAAAAAATTTGCAGCTTGCATGATGATGTTTAATTATACTCTCCTTCCTTTTCTTGCCAACATGTTATGTCTACATTATGCTCCTGGCAACTTGGGCTATTTGTCAATATGTCCACTTAGAGGAGAAAGTATTGCTTGAACCTCACACCCCAATGCACAGAAAAATTAGGCAGATTGAAGATTAGCGTGGCTATGGAACTTGCAGAAAGGCTTGGCAGTTTAACCATAATAAACAAGATTACTGCATATCGAGAGAACCTTTGAGGACCTGGGATCTGAACCATACAGCCAATGTTCATAATCCTCTCGGGTTCTTGTGTGACTTTATGGAAACAAATGCATTAAATAACACCTCTGAATGTCAACAGTGCAAGAAAATAAACACCACTCACGATCAGGGTAAACCAAAAGATAGGATAATTCTAGTGCATAACAAGCAACTGCCTTTGAGTAACACATAGTTCTGAGATAGGAAACCCCATATAACCAGCCGGACTTTTGAAAGCATAGTAGAATCTCCTAGAAAGCTCCCAGTGTCCCCTCACTTCGACTCCTGTGAACTAAGGACGACTCTGATCTAAAGTTCAGGAGTTTGCTACCAAGATCATGATGACGAAGACTGGTTGTTGCTTGGGTTCCACTTGGTTGTGAACGGAGATGCCTTCCACTTGACCGTTTAGTTGAGATCACAGGTTGACTTTTACGAGCATGAGTTGATGAAGGTAATGGCCTTGCACCACCAAGACCATGGCTAGCCTTTCTCACAGCCTTGTTATCTGACCTGAGGCCACGATCAAATTGATGGCTGCTGATGCCTAGCCTAACTGATCGATCGGCTGTGTCTTTCAAAGTGCTGGTTTTAATTGACTGCCGATTGAAGTAAATCAGATGGGGAAGAAGGCCTTGCAGATATTTCTTGAGTTGTTCATCTCCAACATTTTTCTGGGCCGAATTTCCTTCCAAGCTGATGGCTTGCAAGGAACTGTAGTTAGCTGCAAGTTGGCCTAGACATTTGGTTGTCGAGATTTTGTTGAAACGCAGATCCAGCACAGACAGTTTCAACAAACGGTGGAGACCCTCTACCTCGCTTATTTTATTTCCCGCCAAGTATAGCTCTTTCAGGGAGGAACAAGATGCCAGACCTTTAATAAAAGAAAGTGTTACAAGAATCAACACATATAATGATAGAATATTTCGACACTAATACAGAAAAAGCAAACAAGTAGGAAAGCTACAACCATCAAACGAAAATCCAGCACATAAGATACCGTGTCCAATTCTGAATATACGATTGTAGCTCAAATCTAGTACACGAAGGCGGGTAAGCTCACGTAAACCCTCAATGGAGGAAATATTGTTTCTTGACAAATTCAACATATGAAGTCCTCGAGGAAGGGCACCAGCTGTTATTCTCACTGCAAAGGGTATAACAAACAAATAAAAATCAAACATAAATTTAGTTCAAGGCTATTCCAAAAGGCACATAAAAAAATCATGGAAGGGATAAAATGGGATGATGTTGAAAAAGCAAACCTATAGAGTTCCCGGATAGATTAAGCATCCTTAGGCTACCAAATACACCAAGAAATGGGATCACAGCCAGCTCATGGTTTGACAGATGAGCCGTGGTAGCAGAGACACTCAAAGAAGAGATGTATCTTTTAGCAGCTTCTATGCTAGGCGTGTCCTTATTATCAACCTTTGCAGAAGTCAAATCATTGGAATCTCCCTTTACTGGGTCATCAGTACCAGGCAATCCATTTGTTTCTTCCAAAGGGCCGAAGTGTTGAAGATTGTTTACCCAATCCTTGATACGCTTCATTTTAAAATCCTTACTCGGCAATTCTTCCCACTGCTGAATGGGGGATTCCTCTTGAAGATCATTTGCCAAGTTCACCTCATCCATAACCGGCATTATCCAGTTCTCTGCCAAAGCTGAGTAATTATAAAACTCAAAACCTTCATCAATACAACTTCCATTATTGTTTTCCTCAGTATTAGGCATGTTGTCATCCCTTCCTTGCTCTTTCATTTTCTGAGTTTCACCCCCTTGAATTGAAATCGTTGTCAACCTCATGCCTAGAGCATGTAGGTCCTCAGAAGATCTTGATTGTGGTGCCAAATATTCATAAGAATGTCTATGGGAAGTCAGTGCGTAAGGGCCCATGTCTGAAAAAGAACATGACTTTTCGATCATAAGAGGGCTGTGAGGTGACTGGTTACCAGATAAATTGCCACCATCACCAGAAAATGGAGTATCAGAATTTTCAGGTCCTTCCTTCTCAGAATAATGACGATTGTCAATTGAGAATATGCACTCCTTAACAAAACCGTAACTCCCATGAAAAGATCCTAGTTGCAGAGCTTTCTCATGCTCACTAGTTGTGCTTATTCCTGAATCCTTGCTTCCATCTGGTCTGAGTAACCCATTCTGATCAAGGGAATCACTATAGACTCGTTGATCTATCTCCTCAGTATCATTGTCACATAGAACCCTTCCTTCATGGCATAATCCACTACCTAGAGACTGACTTTTCCTAATAAGCCTTGTCTGATGGGCTCCCATGTCATTCTTGTCATCCATTCTGTTCTCATTCTTGTCATCCATTTTGTTCTCATTCTTGTCAGATTTCCAGCTTTGTTCAACAGATACATCAGCTCTTGTAGCATCCCTGACACCATTACTAATTTGATTACCCGCTTGTGCCTTTGGAAGCATTAAGCTTGAAGATTTAGTCAATGGCAGAGCTTGAATTTGAGATAGATCTTCTAAACTCTTATGCCTTGCTTCATCAGAAGGTTGGGCTGTTTTCTGAAGGAGAAACAAAAACTCTGATCAGAAAAAGCCATGGTACAATAACATCAAGGATGCTACCTCCAAGTCAGTGATTCCTCCACATACCTTCGATTTGTGAGAATGGATGCGAGCACTGAAGCATGAGAACCTAACCATTGTAAAAATACTAACACAAGCTACACATCCACAATTGCCAAGACTTGAATTACATAAAGAATGCTATCAGCAAGCAACTATGGTATTTCTTCTTCTTAACGTCCAGACACCCGGAGCCCAGATGAGAGACCAGACCCGACTTTGCTAACTTGTTATCTTCAACTATCATCAAGCTTAAAGCAACCTAGAAAAACTTAGCCATAATCAAGCGACAAGCCCTCTGAAACACGACACAGCCTCCAAACATGAGATGATCTTGATCGCCTTAAAGCACAAAGAAATATCACACCCTCATTATCACCCCACACCCTCCTAGAGGTGTGAGAATGCTTTGAGTTTGTTGCAGCGGCCAGAGTGAACCAAAATCTTCGCCTACTAGGAAAACCCAATTCCTGACCGGCATAAGAGATGCTGGCCTGAAAATAAGGGGAAAAAAGGTTGAGATCAATTTACTGCAATTTCACCCAAGAAACATAAAGCAAGAAAACCAAAAGAAAAGGAAACAATATACAGCTTGTAGGTTTGCAACTGATAACCATGGTATCAGTAACACATGCAGATCCGCATTGGATTGGTCCAATAAAGAGAACAAAGCATGATGAAAAAAAAAAACTAATTGATGCAATTAGAAAACGAAAAATAGCATCTGAAGAATCTTTCTTTCTCGAGCATGGATCATAAACAAGAACCAAAAGCAATTAACCATCATTCATGTACACTGTACAGCCATCATTCCTTAGAAATTAATAAGGAAATAGCTACCAAATATAGCCATTGCAGCAGCAAATAAACTAGAACTAACCATAGCAAATTCCAATGTTAACCCAACATCAAAAGGCATAACTTTATGAAGGAGAGGCACATTGCTGCTATTCAAAGACAAAAGAGACCAATCTATGCAATAAACAAAGAAACAGAAATAAAAGGATATCAAGCACGATGAGCTTTTAGCTCAAAACAAGCGGAGAGAATTCATTCTCTCAAAAAAAAAAGAAACCCACTCCACAAACTATTAAATTACATGAATCAAAACCAAGAAATATACAAAAAAAAAGAAGATCCATTTTGAGAAAACAAAAATAAAAGTAATCAGCGCCCAAAAAACTAAGGGAGAAGGAGAAAGATGTTACCTTTCTTTAGCCAGGTTTTGATAAAGACAACGGCCTTTGTCAGAGAAAAAGGTTTTGTTTTTATATAGCTGTTCTTGAGCCAGAAAAAAAAATCATTATTACAATGGAAAAAAAAAACTGTAAAATATATTTATTTATTTTGAGAGAGATTTGAGCAAGGAAGAGGCAAAGGTTGGAACTTGGCTAACCCTAAGATTTTGTGTATTCAAATTTGTGATTGTGATTTTTATAGACCAAAATATCAATGGCTGTGATTAAAAATAAAATTCCAATGGTTTTGTTTTAAACTCCATTAATGTGGAAAGAACAGATGCAAAGATTGAATTGGATTCTTGGTTATTAAAACTGTGGTCTTGTTTTGATGCGTTAAATTCTAAAAGTGTACTCGTTGACAGAATGCATACTCTTTTGTAAAACATTAATAATATCTTTTAAAATATTTAAAAAATATATATTTATTATTTTTTCATGTATATTTGAAAAGCAAAATCTTAAATAATCTTCATGTATTTTGTTAAGTAGAAACATGCGAAATGCTACATTTTTCTTAACTTCAAACTCAAGATAATGGCGTGGAGGCTCATGAATATGTAATGTGTATTATTTTTTAATGCTAGGATTAGAATGCACAATTTCTTTTCTAAAATAAAATTTGAGAATAACTTGAAAAAATATATTTTTTATGTGTTCGTAAAATAAAAAGATGGCAAAAATAAGGGTATTGGCTTGTTTAAAAGTGCAGTCAAGATTATTTTTTAAAATGTTTTTTAAAATATTTTTCATGTTAAAATTTATTAAAATA